TTGCTGGTTTGCTCCCGAGGCGCTGCATCCTCGGTGACTCGTTCTCACTCTTCTGGTTCCACTCGTTCTGCTGAAAGCCAAAGGCTCGCTCTGAGCAGGGAGAGTTTCACCCCGTTGAATCATCCTGACCAGATAAAATACTCAGGGAGGAACAGGCTATTAATAGCAGCGTCCAGTCCACCCGCAGCAGCAGGAGAGCTGCGGAGCGTCCAAGCAAATACGTGGCAGTTGTGAGGGGGAAGGGGGGGCAGCTTTACACTGCAGAGGCTGACACAGGCTAAGCTGCAGCGTGTGCCCTTCTGTTAGAGGATTACTGCGGGAGGCAGATGTTGCAGGACAAATGGAACCACGGGCACGGTGCTTTGTCCAGTTCCTGACCTTGTGTGCTCATCTTCTCTCAGCCTGCTGGTCCAGGGCGTGGGGGCGGCATTGGTCAGGGAAGGGGTGGGAGGGGATTCTGTTTAGCCAGGATTTCACTCCAGGAGCTTTCTTTCCACCCCTCAACATTCCAGATCGCAAACCACACGGGATACATCAAAGTGGACTGGAAGCTAGTAGAACGGGATGTGAACAAAGCCAAGCAGCAGCTGAAATTTCACAGCAGTGGTAACAAAATGTCTCCAGAAGTGAAAAGCAGAGTGGATGAGGTGAGACAGTTCTCCCAGGGGGTGTGCAGGTGCCCTGCTGGAGGCACAGCAGGAAACGGGATTGAATTCTGGGCTCCTGTGGATCCTCCGCCATGCAAATACCAGGAGGGAGTGCTTGTGTAAAAGCAAAACTAGTGAGATGGCAAAGCTGCCTACGTGAATTTGAAGCAGACAGGGCGTCTTCTAGGCGCGACGCCTACTCACCGTTTGTTGTGGCAGAGTCCTTGGGGTTGGAAGAAAACGTGCTGGGGTTGTGGGGAGCTCAAGAAGGCTGAGCAGGAAAGCTGAGCAGGTCTGGCAGCAGAATGGCCTGGTTACTCCGGGCTCTGCCACAGTGTGATCTGACTCCCACGTGCCATCAGCAGCCCTTCTGTCAGAGGATCCGGGCTGTGCTGGGATTGTTCCACGGTTCAGGTGCCACAGATAGGGCGGGGAGGCCGTTAGGGAGGATGCGGAGCTGGTGCTGAGCAGTGGCCACGCTCCCAGTGTTGCCCACCTAAAAGAACAGCCTGAGAGGGGCCTCACTGTGGGGAGGGGGGTGAGTGGCTGCGGCTGTTGGAGAACACTCTTGGCTCTTCTCTCCCATGCTTAGGTGATCATATTTCTGAAGAAGAACGTTATCCTGACTGGAGGCTTTGCTGGAGGATTTCTGCTCGGAATGGCCTCCTAGGAACTACAGTTGACTCCCTCTTCGTGCCCAGCCTCCCTTGCCCTCCTCTCCTTCCCGTTCCCTTTAACATAGAAGTCATGTTTCCATGGATGTTTCCAACAGGCTCAGCCCCCTGCTCACAGGTTCCAGCCTTTATTTCTTCCAACACTGCTTCTGACTTCCAGCTTTTACCTGTCTGGGTGCTGGGATTGGCCTGAAAGTTTTTGCCTTGCAATGCATCATTGTGATTTCTTTCCCCTCCACACACACCCAGTCCCACGTTCTCAGATGACGTGCAGCCTCCTAACCATGTAGTGGCAGAGAAATCTCTTAAACGTGCTTCTTTTCAGGTGTCCAGGACCTGTGTGTTTGTCTGCCAGTACATGTGCACAACAGCTGCCAGCTGTTGGCTGTTATTTAGCTTGCACTTTCTCTGCTCCGCTACCTGGAAAGCCTGTGCCTCCCTCTGTGCAGAGCTGGGTGTGAAATGCAGATACCCCTGCATGTCCTGGGGTGGCTGCAGAGGAGTCAGGGGCAGCTTGGGCTGTGGGTAAGGAGCACCTTCGTGCTGTGTGTGGCGGTGGGGTCCTGCCCTCCCCCTGCCCTGCACAGGGGTGGCTGTTTGGCTCCTCGCCTGCTGTTATTTATAGCCCTTACTGGAAGTGCAGCTCTGGCACTGCAGATGGAAACTGAGCACCACGGGTGGCTCTCCAGACTCTCCCCTTATCCCGTGTTCTGAAAGCAGAGCTCCTTTCTCGCTTGCTGGCTGTCAGCCCTGTGCTGAGGCGCTCTCGTTGTGCTGAGCAGGCTCACAGGGTGCTTGCCCTGCCCATGTCAGCCTGCCTGCTGTGGGCAGCGTTTCAGCTGTGCCGCTCTCTGCAAAGCACCCCAGGGCTCAGAGTGGTGTTTGTAAGCCCGTTGTGGCCTTCTCTGGCCACGCTGGGGTTGGTGATGCCCTTACAGACAACCACGTGGGGTAGGATTGTAGATGGCAAGTGTTTAGGGAAGTTGCGCTGGTCCAGGATCCCCGTGGCCAGCTCCATTGCGGTGTGTCTGGGGAGGAAGGAGAAGGTGAAATGTGGTTAGAACTACTCTGAGCGCAGTCCCCTACCTGCTGTGGGGTACAGACTCCACCTGGACTCTTCAGGGCTTCCAGCATCTGTCTGCACCCTGGTGGCTGCCGTGGGCAGGGGGCCAGCTGCCTTCCTGCAGCATCTCCTGGGACTCGCAGAATCCTTTGAGTGCATTTGGCAACAACTCCCATTTGTTTCTTCCCTAACCTGAGGCTGTGGTTACGAAGATGCTGTGCGGAGCAGCTCAGCCTGCCTGCCTACCTGTCACTGCGTACAAAAACAGGGTACTGTACATAACAAAAAGGGTGGGGAAAAAATGGGCATGCCCTTGTAGGAGTAGACCATTTCCGTGCTCTTTGCCTTGGTTTTGTTTCTTTGACTTTACAATTTCCACAAAAAAAAACAAAAAAAAAAACCTGCTTGCTTAATCCCCTTGCTTATTTCCAACAGCTGCAGCCCTTCTTCTGCAGGTGATGAGGCAGCCCAGATGCAGAGCTCAGGTGTTTATGGGATGTCTGGCCTGGTGCAGCTGTGTGCAGAGCAGAACTCTAACCTACAAGAAAAATGAAAAAAAAAGATAAAAAAAAATAAATAATAATCTTAGAGGTGTTCTGCATTGGCTGTGCTTGGTTGGCACTAGCACTTTCCAGAGTGTGGGGACTTGCACGATGTAGGGTGTTGTCCTCCAGCAGGTACACGCAGGTGTCCTTGCCCAGGACGTTGATGTGCAGCCCACCTTTTGTGGGGAACACGCTAGAGAATGGTGATGCACGTGGGTGCCTGGGACACAGGTCGGCAGCTGCACCCCATCTCCCACATCGTGTGATGCCCTTCTGAACATAGGTTGTTGGCTCTGGGTGTGGGTACAATGGGGTTTCTTCCTCAAAGAGCTGCTGGAAGGGCTGGCACTGGGGGTTCTGCCACCAGAGGTTTTGGGCTGAGCACAGGCTCTTGTTCCTTTTGCTTCACTTCTGATTGAAGTGTCAGAATGGCAACGCTTTGATTTAGGTGAGGGTTTCTCACCTTCTGGGTATGAAGAGAGGCTGCAGGTAATCAAGAAACATAAATCGGTGTCTTTGCTCCTGTCCTACCCTATGTGGCCAGGGAGAATAAAGGAGCAGCTGGGCTCACAGCCTTTTAACGATGGCTTTTAGGAAAGCCATCAGAGGCTGCAGGAGGGATGCGATGCAGCAGATAGGTCCTTGATAAGTCGGTGTCTGGGAGTGGAGTGACAGAAGTGTTTTCTTTTTTTAGTAACCCCGCACAGCTGGATGTGGCTGCATTAACACATTTGCATTGTGGAGTATCTCTTGTTCCTGTAGGGAAACAGCCCTGCTTCCCCCCTGCCTGCTGTGCTGCATAAACCCGCTTCTACCGAGGTGCATCACGAATCTTTCCCAGCAGCAAAGCTCAAAGTAAATCACGAGCAGACCTGAGGGCTGTTTTTCCAGCTCAGATAAGTCGCTTTCTGCCCCTTCCAGGGAGGGGTGTACTGGATTCTGCTCCACAGGGTCCCGACTTGCTGCTATGGAGAGCAGTGGCCCGGAGAGGGAGCCAAAACGTCTCAGTTCCTGCAGGAAGCAAGTGGTTGAGACAAATTCATTTTGTTTAGTGTGAGCTCAGGCAGGGAGTGGACAAGGACATCAGCATCTGGCAAATCCTTCTGCTGTGCCAGTGTCGGGCTCACGGCTGGCGCTGTTTGACGCTGTGTGCCCACACTGGAAGGTTTGATGCTCTGTGGGAATGCATTTTCATTGCTGCAGGTGCCAAGATGAGGTGTTCCTCCCCACACTCCCCAACACACTTGCTCCTTTTGGTCTTGTTTCAACAACTTCTGGCATCTGTACCAGTATGGGAAGGTTTAAAACACACTAGGCTTTTGAAGTCTTTTTATATATTGTATGTAAATGCTTGTTGAAGTGATATTTTATTAAACAGTTTTGCTCTAACTTCCGTGTGAGGTCTGGTGGCTTCTCAGGAACCAGCACGTTGTGTCTTCGCCTCACCCTGCCTGTTGCATTTTACTGGTGGGAGCAGTTGCAGCTGGTGCAGTGGCACAGGGCGCCCAGCCTCCCTCCTCTGCAGGTGACTGTGGCTGAGGGTGAGCTGCCTTAACAAATCCCTCTGCCTGGTGATCCCGGCACCCATTGCCCATGCTCACAGAAGCTGGGATGCCTCGGGAGTAGGAGGTGATTCTGCTGCCAGCGTGGCCTCGGGTTCCTTGCTCACGGAGTTTGTCTTCATGCCCATTCTATTCAGGTAGAGCAAAGACTTTAATTAGGTGCGACAGAAGCCTCAATATTTTTTTGATCATGTGTTGGTGATTTTCTTTCTCATGCTCAGATCAGGCAAGAGGGAAAAATGATCCACCTGTGAAGTGACTGAGCTGCTTCACATCATTGTCATGATTCCCTACTGCTTTTCAAGAGAATTAGCCACCCTGTCACCCCTCTGCTTTGTTGTCCAGTAAGGCCAGCTCCGAAATATTCCGTGCCCAGGCTGTGAAAATACCAAGCAGCTTCTATTTAAACATGATAATGTCACATGTAGCTCTGGATAGCGAACAGCAGCCAAGCTGCCCAGCTTACAGCTATGCTGGGTTCTCAATAAACAACCACACTGAGACTGCAATTTGTTCCAGTCATTTATTTTGTATTATGGTATTTCAGAGCAGTGAATACAGATGGTTTGCTCTTCTAGGCTTCAATACACTCAGCTATTGTGCCTAGACTACAGTGGTATTTTTATAGAAGCTGTATTTTATAATTAATTGTACTTGATCACAGCACAAAAGTCCTTACGGCTAGATCTAATGACAGAGTTAGTGGCCTAGTGGGTTCAAAGTCTGGTATGTGGGTGCCCTGGCTTGGCACCCACTGAGGTGCCTGGACTCCTGCTACAGTGGACGGAGAGACGTGGGCAGCTCTAAAGGGTGATGCAGGAACCTGTCTACCAAGCTCTTCTACAGGTCACAGGAAATTCTGCTGCACAGGTGAGAGCTTCTGAAAAGCCATCTCTCCCTGGGGTCCAGACACAAGACGGTTTGTGTGTGAGTCTGAAGTGCTGTACCAGAAGTGGGTGCCTACAACTGCTTGCTCAGTAAGTGGCACCTAAGTCGGTTCTTGGATCTAGCCCAGGGCTTTGTGATAGGCCCCTGGGTACCAGCGTGCTGAATTACGCTGGGTTTATAACATATTGCTTAAAGGTCTTCAATTAGACAGAAATTTATAAATTTTATATCAACAGTCAGATTTTCCAAATGAATATTGCTTTTTTTAAAAAAATCCTATTCCTGTAGCAATCCCTGAAATAAGGTTCCTGTAACATCTTTATTGTCATGCAAATAGCAGCGTGTAGGCAATTCAAATATAGTAATCAAAACCCTGTCCAGTGGGAAAGTGAGGCACTTAGGCAAAGTGACACGTTGCCACTCATGAGCTATGCAAAACCTAGGAACGAACCCCGGACCTGATTCCCGTTCTTGAGCTTGAACCACTGGACAGGTGAACGTTGTCTGGAACTACTGCGTGATGGCAGCAATACCTCTGCGGTGTCAAGATGGACTTTGTTTTATGTGTCACGCTTAAACTCACTCTGATGAGCACATTTCCTGTACCTCCTGCTCTAGAAGCCAGAGTAACTTGGTTCCAGCCCTCCATTTTGAGAGCGAGGATGGGTTAGAGTAAGGTAAGCATTCTAAAAACATCGAACCGATTTTTCACAGACACAGTTGCAATGCGAAGACAATGTAGATGATGTTTTGGTACAGAAAATGCAGTCTGTTAACCAGGCCATCTCTTGGTACTGTTATACTTTTTGGTGCACGGGATGGTGTGTTCTGGGAGCCTTCTGGCTTTCCTGAAAGTCTAGAGAAGGCTCGAAAAAAAACCACACATGGGCTCCGCAGGTGAGTCCGTGCTCTCGCACCTGCCGGAGCTGCATTGTGTTACTGAGGTGGTGGAGGAATTCTGTCTGAAGTAGTCTTAAGCTTTTCTCTCTCTCTTTCTTCTCTCTCAAAACCTGAACAACAGATGGAGCGGCCCTTGGGGTACCGGGCGCAGCATTTCCGCATCTCCTGGAGCACGGCTGCGCACTTAGTACTCCACGTAGTTGTTCGCTGGAAAATAGAAAGGAGACACAAAGTCCACACAGGGGAAGAGGTGCTTTGGTCTCAGTGCCCAGCCTCACCAGTGACTGGCCCTCATCAGTTACATGCAGCAGCTGGGGCTCAGGCCCAGCAGGGTTCTTCCAGGCCCTAGGAAACCAAGACTGATGGATCCAGGTGGCTCGGGAAGGACACCTGCAGCCCCATCCGCCTGCTCAAAGCCCCTGCTGCTCTCCCTTGGGTTTGAGAGGAAGAAGCTGGCAACCTAAACAGTGTGGGAGGTCTGGAAAAGGAAAGCTAAGCTCTGTGCCATAATGATCCTACGATGGGTGCTCCGGGGGCTCTCCTAACCTGTTCCTGTGCAGGTTTGTTTCTAGCACTACTGCTACGTTCAGGCACACCCTGCTACCCATCAGGGATGCATTCCTGTAAAGCACAAGGGTTAGTTATCCAGTGGACAGCAAAACACACAAAAAAAAAACATTTGCAGTGGGCATTCAGCCTCACAGAGGAAGCAGGCAAGATCTTTTGAAGCAATGACCCGCTGCAAACCAGCAGGCTCGGAAAAGCCAGCAGCTCCCAGTGCTCCTGCTCCTGCCCTCATCCTCCGCACGGCACACACTGTGGGTATTAGTCAGCTAATGTTCTGTGTACATCCTCTATTAAATTAATTCTTGCAGGAAGAATTGCTTCGCTGTCTGTCAGCTCAGCTGCTTCATCTGTGCAGCTCAGACAATATCCCAGCAGGGCAACGCACGCACAACAGCAGCGCTCCAGAACGTTAGCTGAAGAAGTGGAGGATGGGGGCGTGCACGTAGCGGCCTCTAGAAGCTTCTCTGCTCACACTTAACCGGTCAGATCAAATCCGTACACAAACCTACGCAGGTACAACGCTTGGAGTAACCTCCACGAGTGTTATGAAAATAACATTGTCATAGCTGGGCCCACAACACTGTTCAACATCAGCTTTTAAGTGCAGTTACTGTGGGGAGTGAGGCTCTTCCCACAAGAACACTTCAAACTATCAGGACAGTAAGAGCAAATCAGGCAATCTATTCACACGGGGAGAGGATTATTTGAGCCCTTGCTTTGAGCTGAACACAGCTTCCCAAAAACAATCCTGGGAAAAACAGACATCTACCTGGCTGACTGCTGCCTTCCCCCTGTGCCATTCCCCCAGGCAGCAGGGGCTGTTGTGGCTCCTGCACTGGCTGCGATCTCCGTGTCTGCAGCAGGCCGCAAGGCCATCCCTCTGCTTCCCCACAGGTCTCCTACCCGAACTCTCTGCATTTCAGCTAACCTGCCTGCGGTCTGCAAACAAATTAAAGGCAGAAATGAGTCGTCGTGGAACTGCCTTGGCTGCCCTGGGCTACTGCAGTGAGTTCCTGAGAGGCTCAGCGCACGGTAAGGGCTCTGCTGGGTGAGTTAGGAAGAACTCTTTTCCACGTGGTGGAGCTGCCTTGGCACACAGGAATGTTTTCTCTTATTTGTTCTATGGGGCAAGTTGTTTTCCAAGAAGCAACCAAGTTTTTTAAGAAATATTTTTCTCTGCAACTCGGGCTCCCGAAGCACATTATCAGGTAATCTCCCCCTTCACTACAAATATTTGGCTAAGCTATTACAAAACAGCTGTGAAAGGTCTCCAGAGGACACCAGTGCATCTCCTACCTTGAGGCCAGATCACATATACCACATCTCTTCCTGCCAGACATCTGTCTGACCTGCTCTTAAGATACGCCTCGAGCTAAACACTCCGCAGTCTTCTGCAATCCGCCCACAGCCTCGCTACCCACTCTGCAAGGGAGCTTATTATAATGTCTAGCTCTCCCCGCCTACAGCTCGGTCCCAAGTCTACACACAGGCTCTCACTACTGGCAAGGAGAACGCTCCGTCAGAAATAAACACTTTGCTGTTACAAGCGCTCCGTTTTGTACTAATGGTGTCTCGTTGCTTACAACCAAGCACAACGGAACTCTCTTAAAACCAGACTTCTTTATAATTTGTTTCACTTTGCAATCAGGTCACGCTAATGTGCTTGCTTGCTTCCTCCTCAAGGTGAAGGGAGAGCTGGGTTAGGTTAAAAGAATCAAGTTCCACCAAAACTCAAGACACCAAAAAGACAAAATGACATTTGGTACCTTGCAAGCATTTCTGTATTTCACAGGCTTGTTTCTGGCAGGGATCCTTCTGGGACATGTTCAGAGAACTAAAATGATAGGAAAACGTTACTGTAGAAATAATGTTTGGGGGTGGGAGGGAAAGACACTGTCTGAGAGCCAGGGCTTTAAAGAGTTCCCCGATTTCCCTCTCTACCACAGACAGTTCAGCAAGTGCCTACTGCTGCCTGCAGGTGCCTGCCGACACGGACAGGGGCTCCCCAGCCTGCCAGTGCACACACAACCTTCACTGCACACCTCTCCCAGGAGCAACTCGTTAGTGGCCTCCTTAGTGACAGCTCTGGGTCTGGCTAAAGGATGTGGGCAGTGAGTACAGGGAGGTTTTACAGTGCTGTGCGTGGAGGCCTTTTCCTTTTCTCTGGTCAGAACGTGTCCTGCTCCACCTGGAAGCACAAAGACTCCAACCACGACTCCCATGAACTCGCCTGTCTTTTTTTTAACAGTTCTGTGCCCCTAAGCCTTATGCTAAAACATGTGTCTGTGTAAAAGCCCTCTCTGTGAGCTCTACACATCCAGGAGTTTGGTTACTCATGTAACTGCATCTGGAGGAGGAGCTTAGGGAAGGAAAAAAAAAAAAAAAGAACAAAACAACATAGTTACGTGCGTACAGTAAAAATAACAACAATGAAGGGGCTTTTTTGTTGCAGGAGAAATCCTCTCAGAATTCCCCCCAAAAGAAACCACAATCAACCACAATCACATCCCCGAAAAGCAGGATTTCAGACAATCAATGTGACTTTCTGCAGCTGTGACACCTGTAAGCGTGATCTCAAATCAAAAGAGAAGCAGAAGCTGGTGGAGCAGCAGTTGGATGAGAGACCTCTAAGGGAAAGCATGGCTGTGGCTGAAAGCGGTGGTGGGACTCGCGCTCCCTCAGGGCCACAGTTCAGCTCTTGCCCCTGCCCAGAGCTAGGGAGGAGCTGCCTTTCAAACCTCAGCTCATTCAGCACCCAAGTAATGCTAGGACATTACTTCAGCATCCTGGCCAAACTCCACTTAGGGCAATTCCATTCTGCCTACCTAGAAGTCCCCCTGATGGTTCAATGGGACACGATACTCCTCTTCACTGCCTGTCCTAACTCTTGTGTGATGTTGCTGTGTGTTGTTTAAGTGCCTCCACCCCAGGGGTGGCTGCATTTCAGTGGAGAGAGAATCATTTATTGGACAAAACATACAAGGACATCTTCCTAGAGCGACTGCTCCTGAAAGACAAAAATTGGCATTAAAGGATGACTGGGAATAAACAGCACAGCACAAAGCAGGGGTAATGTCTCCACATACCAGATTAATCACCAGGCACGAGTTTAAGCAGCAGTTCTTCAACACCACCGAGCTGTAAGCGACAAGGAAAAGTTCAATACGTCTACAGTTACCGGGGCTGAGCTAACGGACGTCAATAAAACAACAGTCCTTTGCCGTCCCTCAAGGATCTCAAATGACTTCACAAACAGGAATGACTATGGTCTAGTGTCGCCACCATCCTTACCATGAGATGGTGCTCTATCTCCCAAACGCGAGAGTTACTATCCCTGTACTGCTCACCCTGGGACAGCTGCCACATATGAGGCAGCCGGGATGGGGGGAGCTGGCTGGGTCGCAGCGCCTCACCCAGGGGAACCTGAACTCTTTGGATCCGAGCCCTCAGCATACCTTCCTCCTGGGGGAGAGCAACAGAGAGAGGAGGCAGTTACTGGCAGTGCAGCAGAGGCACCCGCGACAGCAAAGCCACGACCACGGCGAAGCCCGAAGCACACTTGCCTCTTCCGCAGCCACGAGCCACGTTTTGCGGTGCTCATCGCAGTAAACCCCCACGCGGCGCACCCAGAGGCGGACGGGAGGAGCCCCCGCGTGCCCTCCTTCTGCCATGCCCTCGCCGCTCCTCGCCGCTCCCTCCTCAGGCGCGCGGCATCGGCGGGCGCGCGGGCTCCTGAGCTCCGAGCACGCTGGCGGAGAAAGCTCTCCGAAAGGCACCTCGGGGCGGCGGCTGCCGTGCTGGGAGGGATGCTGTGTGCTGAAGGGTCCCTAGAAGGCAGCCTGGGGGGCTAAGGTGATGCCTGTGGGAGAGGAGGTCGCACGGCGGGCTGGGCGCTGGGATGTGCGCGCTGTATGGCGTCTGTAAGGCATTCTGGGGCAAAAGGTGCTATAGGTACACGGTTAAACCCTGTGGATATTGGCTTTGCTTATTCCGCTAACAGTCCTAGTAACAGTCTTCGTGTAAAATAGGGAGGAAAAAAAAAAAGAAAAAGGAGAAAAGAAGAAAAAAAAAAGTGATTTACGCAGGAGTTCCGTGGCTAATGATGGTCTAAATCCCAAAAACTTGTGACAACGGGTGGAATTAGCTTAACAAGAACGAGGATCACTCTGGAGACAAAGCACGAGACTCCGTACGCTTGACTCTCACATTTGGATCTCGCAGAGCTGTCATTGTGCAGGGGCCTTCGTCTCATCCCTTAAGAGGGTAGCAGCATTGTCCATTCACACACAGGCTTCTCGTGGACAGCTCTTGCGGCTCTGCGTGGTTCAGACTTTGGGTGCTTACTGAGAGCCAAGGATAGCAGCAGGGGCAAAGGAATTTTGGACATGGAGGCGGTTCTTCCTACCAGAACGTTTGCTTAACGGCAAGTTTGTCTGTATGCCAGTTAGAGCAAGCTGAGCCATTAGCAAATGGAGGTCAGGGCAAGTGATTCTCTCTTTGAACCCTAGAAGAGGTAATCAGAACGGTACAGACAGTCTTCATCCTTTATCTAGGTTTAAAGTAGAACAGAATTAGGCTGCGATACATGTAACATCTTCCTGCTATGAAGCAGATGCAATACTCCTATCCCAGTGAAACACAGTGATCTTCCGAAAACTCGCGGAGTTACAAGGCATGTTTCGGACAGAAGCAAGAAAATCTGGGTACAAAATAAAGCAGGGAAGGTCAGGGAGAGAAAAATATCGTTATACATTGGGGTACAAACACAGCAGGACACACACGTCCACGTTGCCTCCTCTGCCTTACCCCAGCGGTTCTCTGCCTTTCCCAACCACAGCAGCACCGAGCGTTTTTGAACACAAAACACCAACCACGGGTCAGCCTGACCAGCACTGACACAGCATTGTAATTTACGCCAAGGAAAACTCTGATCGTTCTCTTATTATTTCTTTTCTCCCATTCTGTTTGTTTCCTTGCTTGACGTGTGGCAATGTGTGTGTGTTACTGAAAGCTCTGAAGACCATCCCGTGGTGTGTTACGGCCCTCCCAGGCACTGAAAGGAACGCGACAGCAGACTGACAAGCCTCACGAGGCCTTCAGCAATGAGCTGTGAGGGTTAAAGTGACACCCCTGGAAGTCCTATTCGTTCTGCTTTATCCTAAGTTGCTTTCCAAATTTAAGCCCACGTGTGGAAATCACTTTGCCCAACAGTGAAGTGCAGCAATCGCCGCTGCTCACTTTCAGTCAGCAGGATGTAATTACCCAGGCTGGAATTTGGCCAGGACACTCTCCTACTCTGTGGTCTGATGCCAAAAGCTCCATCATGTCCAAAAATGCTCACCAACTTGCTTTCGTGCCCCACTCAGAGCTGGAATTTCTACAGCTCATCATCCCCAGGACAAGAAGATGTTGTCAGCTCAATATTGATTCAGGTTTGGAAAAATATCGCTCCATAAGTGAACGCCACTGCTCCTACAGCAAGTAAGCTCTCCCGGAAGGTCTCCTATCCAAATACTAACCTGGTCCAGCCCTGCTGAACCTCAGGCAGGAGGACTAAAGCACCACACGGATCTCTGTGTTTCCTGTGCACGAGCATGGTGGCAATGAGAGGTACAGGGCCGACAGAACAGGGTCTCATGCAGAGGACACCGTGCAGAATGGGCAGCAGGTTAACAACATCGCCTTTTCACTCTTTGCCCCAGAAATTCGACCCAAACTTCCTCCGAGCTCCACAGCCCTGAGCTCAGTTGCCAGAGTTCACAGGCTCGCTCTGGCCTCGCTTTTCTCCAGCCTCTAAGACTGCTGCGAGGGTGCCCAGTCAGAGCCACGACTAAAATCTCGAGGTCAGGCAAAACCGTCACTTGGGTGTGGAGCACGGCAGGTCTGTCCTTGGAACTCGGACATCCGAGAGGAACAGGAGCTTTGAAAAAGCATGCGCTTAGACATTTGCACCTAAAACATCAAGACGGGAAAAACTTACACGCTTCCTACTTTTTGCTGATTTTATCAGAAAGCAATAAAGGAGCCTGAAGGAAGACAGAGTTGAGAGAAGTCAGCTTACTTACATTCAAAGCAAGTTGTAAAAACTGTTCCTTACACTGCTCGACTCGTTATCTACGCCCTGAAAAACCCATCCAACAAAAACCAATCATCTTAAATTTGCAGGACTGCAGTGTCATGCTTTGACGCTGATTTCAGAGTTGCCATCAACATAATTGCATAAGACTGAGCAGATTGAGGTTTGGGGCTGGGGAGATTTAGAGCCCAGCCCCATGGACACCCCCACGACCTGCAGGTTTTCTGTCCTCCTCGATATCGGGCCTTGAAGTTTGATGCTGTTCTGGGACCTGGTGGCTTCTGAGCCACACAAACACAAACAAATGTGAAGATGGCCAGCGGGAGGACTGAACCTTGTGACGAGGTTAATTTATTTGCTTGTAAAGTGAAAATATTAGAATATTTTACCAAAGCAATGAAAGAAATTGCTCCAGATGCAGTTCGGGCCATCCCCAGAGCTGGAGCTCGGCGTGCTGGCCAGCCCCCGGTTGTGTTTTAGGAGGGGACGGGGTGGGACTGGTAGAGGAGCTCAGCTGCCATGTGGGCACTGAGGGAAGCCGCGATGCTGGGGCTCAGTGCACGGGGCACAGCTGTGCTGACACGGCTCCACGGCTCCGCACCAAAGCCGCCCAGTTCATGCGTGGCTCCCGGGGAGCTAAACGGGAGCCGATCCTCCCCAAAAACCCAACCTGGATCTTGCAGTGAGATGGGGATGGGACGAGCAGTGTGCGGGGCTGAGGGCGCACTGACTTGTGCTGGAGCTTCTTTGTGGGGTTTGGACACTTTGGGGGGTTGGACTCGTGGGGTCTGGACTCTTTGGGGCTTGGGCTTTTGGGGTTTGGACTCTTTGGGACTTGGACTTGTTGGGGTCTGGACTCTTTGGGGCTTGGACTCCTGGGGGTTTGGACGCTTTGGGGCTTGGGCTTTTGGAGTTTGGGCTTTTAGGGTTTGGACTCTTTGGGGGTTTGGACTTTTGGGGTTTGGATGCTTTGGGGCTTGGACTTTTGGGGTATGGACTTGCAGGGTTTGGACTATTGGGGTATTGACTTTTGGGGCTTGGACTCTTTGGGGCTTGGGCTTTTGGTGTTCAGGCTTCTGGGGTATTGGCTTTGGGGGTTTGGACTCTTTGGGGCTTGGACTCCTGGGGGTTTGGACCTGTGGGATTTGGACTTTTGGGGTTTGGACTTTTGGGGCTCGGACGCTTTGGGCTTTGTGTTCTCGGGCTTTGCTCTCCCTGAGGCTCGGCCCCTGCCCTGCCCTGCCCGTGGCGCTGTCCCCCCCCCGCTCCTTCAGCAGCCGGCTCCGGGCCCTCCGGTGGGGCAGGGGCGGCTCGGAGGGGCCCGGCCATGGCTGGGGGGGGGGGGGGCGCAGGGCGGGGTCCCGGTCCCGGTGCCGTTCCCGTTCCCGGCCGGGGGTATTTTGGGTGCGCGCAGCCCGCCCCGCGCCGCCCGCCCGTGACCTACCTGCAGCCCGAGCCGCTGCCAGCCCCGCGCCGTGAGCGCCTCCGCCAGGACGGCCCCGCCCCCTCCCCCCCCCCCGCCTCCCACCGGCCCCGCCCCGCCCCGCCCCGGCCCCGGTACGGGATGGCGGCGGCGGCAAGAGCCCGGAACCCCGGAGCCGCACCCGCGGGGGCGACACGGAACCTCCGCGGCGGGCGCACCGCCCCGCGCTGATTGGTCGGCGGAGCCGGCGAGGAGCGCGGTGATTGGCCCTCCGTGAGGGGAAGGGGCTACTTCCGGTGTGGGCGGCGAGGAGACAAGATGGCGGTGCAGGCGGTGCACCTGGAGGCCGACGCGTTCCTCGTGTGCCTGAACCACGCGCTCAGCACCGAGAAGGAGGAGGTGATGGGGCTCTGCATCGGGCAGGTACCGCGGGGCGCGCCTGGGGGGCGGCGGGGGTGGCTGGGGGGTTGTGGGGGGTGGTGGGGGGCGGGTAGCACAGGGCCCTGCCCCCCCCCCTCCCCTCCCCTCCCTTCCCCTCCCGTCTCTCCCCTCAGGTGGACGCGGGCCGCGTGGTGCACGTGCAGTCCGTCATCATCCTGCGGCGCTCCGACAAGAGGAAGGACCGCGTCGAGATCTCGCCCGAGCAGCTCTCGGCGGCCTCCACCGAGGCGGAGATATCCTTGGGTGCTGCCCCCCCTCACCCCCCCCCCCCCCCACCACCACCACCAAGGGCTGGGCTGGGCTGAGCCGCGGGGAGCTGTGTCTGGGTGCCCCCCCTGCAGAGCTGCCCCCCCTGCAGAGCTGCCCCCCCTGCAGAGCTGCCCCCCCTGCAGAGCTGCCCCCCCTGCAGAGCTGCCCCCCCTGCATCGTCCTCGGCAGCCTCCCCACCCGCCCCTCACCGCCACCTACAAACCAAATACACCCCCTGCTAGTCCTGGGGGAGAGGACTCCATCGGTTCCTTGTCCCCTCTGTAGGGATGGTTTAAGCTCTGCTCTGCTCGTGCAAAGTTTTTTGTTTTTTTTTTTTTCTCCCCCTTGCTCTGTTGCTTCCAAAAAGCGCCTTGACGCACACACAGGTTGGCTGAGATGACGGGGCGCCCCATGAGGGTGGTGGGCTGGTACCACTCCCACCCCCACATCACCGTCTGGCCGTCACATGTTGGTAAGAGCAGGCTCAGTCTTGGTTCTGTGCAAAAGCTCCTAGCTGGTTAATTATCTTAATTAATAGTGGGCTTTGAGAGCTGCACGTCCCAGCTGTCAATGTTTGGTTTCCCAAATGCCTAGACCATGGGGGTTGTGCTCTGGTGCTCGAGCTGCCCGAGCCCCAGCAGCCCCAGAGAAGCTGGTGCTGGTGCTGCTGCTCTTCCAGGCAGCAGAGCTAGAGCTGGGGCTGGGTAATAGCAAAAAGCTGTGGGAATCGTAGTCCTGCTGTAATGCTTTTTGACGTCTCCAAGTGTTAATGCAAAAACTAACGCTTTTTTGAAAGAAAGATGTATCTTACACCTGCTGGACGCTGTGGTTATATGGCTGATCTGCAGCACCAGGCTTATGTTACGATCCTTTCTTGTCTCATTAACTCATCTTGTGTTTTTAAGACTTGCATTTAATTGTATTTTAAATGGGATCAACATTTTTACATAATATCCTGGAGTAAGTACTTTTAGGCACAGGACTGTTATCAAACTCCAGGGTCACCCTTAGGAACCTGGAAAACCTTTTCCAGGCCTTCAGGTGAACAGTGCAATTCTCCTTGTCTCATTTCTTTGTCTGTAGATGTCCGCACACAAGCCATGTATCAGATGATGGACCAGGGCTTTGTAGGGCTCATCTTCTCCTGCTTCATTGAGGACAAAAACACCAAGGTAGGTAACCTAAGAATGGTGATTAAACCCTCCAGGTGCTGAGGAGAAACGTGGGCCCCAGGGCAAAGCTGAAATCCTGCGCTTGGCCTTGGGTGCAGCCTGCAGCAAGGGCCGAGCTCTGCTTGGAGCACAGTCAAAGCAGGGCTGAGCGGTGGCGTTTGGATCGTACTCCTGATGGCAAAGGAAGGTGCTGTTAATTACTGTGTGCTGAGCAGGGGTGGCTTTCTAGCCTGCAGTTGTGCTGGTGTCAGGGCTCTGGGACCGCATCAGCTGGCTGCAGTGCGTGCACCAAGAGGTTTCAGTGCCCTTCAGGCCAGCAGGCACAGCCTAGTGCAGCCTCCCAAAATGCTGCTGCAGCACGGGGTGAGCTGACAGCCGTGTCTTGGCCAGGCTTTCCTAGCAGCTCTGGTCTAAGATTATTTTTTTTCATACTTAGTGGGTCTATCAATGTTTGCAAAGAGTTCCAGCAGACCAATCCAAGCATAAGGTGTATATTTCTGCAAACTGTTAAATGCTGTTTGAAAATACTCTGCTCCCTGAAGGATTTGGGGGTTCTAGGCGATGTTTTGGTACTTGACATCTGACTTCCTGCTGCCTCTCTTAGACAGGCAGGATTCTCTACACCTGTTTCCAGTCCATTCAGGCCCAGAAGAGCTCAGAGTGAGTACAACAGGAATATTATGTTTAGTTGGGATTTCATTTCATTTCTCCTTTCTGGATTGTCTCAAGTAAGTGGCTTCTGGGTTCACGGTGAGCAACAAATAGGTACAGAGATGCCTGAACGAGGTCTCCTTATCTCTGCTAATGCAGGCTGCTCAAAGAGAATCTGAATTTGACTGATTTAGGCGAGATAATTTAGTAATTTAATTTGAAAGCTGATGTAGAACGCTGTCGTTTGTGTGTGAGTGCTGTACTCTGTCGTGTGAAGGCCCAGCTCCAGAATTCAAAGCTCCAAGGGGTCAGGCCCTGCCAGTTGTATGCGTGCTGTGCATCGTGTTGTCAGTGCTGGCCCTTCAGCTGCTTCAGTATTTCTATCAGTAGAATTTGAAGTAAGAGTGTGGCTGTAAAGGCTTCCATTTGCCTGTCAGTTGTGGCACATGTTCTCAGAAGTAAACCTGCAGTGAGCCCATGAGCCAGACTGTAGGTTTGTAAAGGCTTTTTTAAATTATTATTATTCCTTCTCTGCTGCTTTGCAGTTAATTGTGTCTGATACCCTTGTAGGTACGAAAGGATTGAAATTCCCATTCACGTTGTCCCGCATGAGACCATCGGGAAGGTGTGTCTGGAGTCAGCTGTCGAGCTGCCCAAGATCCTGTGCCAAGAGGAGCAGGATGCCTACAGGAGGATTCACAGGTAACAACCCAGGGCTGCAGCCCTCTGCAGGGCTCTTCACTGACACGTTCTGCTTCTGCTGTACCTCAAGTGCCTCAGCAGGGATATAGAAGTGAGAAGGATCAGCACCTGGTGTGCCTTTGTAGGAGCGCTGAGGGAGCACTCTCATGTTACAGTGTTGACCTTGTACTCCCGCGTGTGACTTGCACGTGAGCTAAGGGAACGGCTCCTCCGATGCAGTGAGAGCTAACGCACGTGTGGGCGAGTGGTGGTGCTTTGCTGATGTGTCTGTGTGTGAATAACTGGTGTTTAACCAGGGTAAGAGTGCTGAGAGGTCAGAAATGAGATTAAATGTAATATTTTTTTTCGTTCTCCTGCCTCTGGTGCTCCCCTGAGTGCCATTTCTGTGCAGGAAGGTCTGTTATCCTTGTGAACGTACGGGGCTTCTACCAAACAATGAGGTTTAGAAGTACGTGCACTGCCAGCTGTAGGTAGCAAGTTCTAGAGCCTGGACCTGCCTGATAAGCACTTCACTGCTGTTGTCACTCATTTGCTTTCTGCTTCTTCTTTCAGCCTCACCCACCTAGACTCCGTGACCAAGATTCACAATGGCTCAGGTAAGGATTCCTTCTGTCTGGGTGTGAGCACCGGGTGCTGTTCTGGGAGCTGGGACACTAGAGCCTTGAGCAGTGGCTGGATGGTGCTGCTTTCGGGGGACAGAGCATGGTTGTGTAACAGCCCTTGTGAGCCCCAGCGCTGCCTTTGCTATAAAGAGCAGTTAGAAATAACTATAAAAGCACCAACTTCTTGGTTTTTCATTTGCTGGGCAGTTGAGTTTCATTCACAGATGCCGTGTAACCAAAAGGCTTCCCTGTTGCATTGCTTTTTGTCTGCTAGACTTTGTAATACTTTAAAGGAAAATACCAAGGGTTGTAAAGTAACTTAATCCTGGGGTTTATAAATGCTGTTCTATCCTTGTGGCTTCCTTAAGGACCCTTGATCAGTCAGCTAAAATTGCCATAAACTTTATTTATTTATTTATTTCCTGCTAGAACAGCAAGGGCTATGTGTATGTAGTTGTGGTGAGTCTTCAAGTAGTGTGTGTGTCTGATCCATGCGTGCTCGTATCTCCTGAACGTGATGTACAGGAAGCATCCAGCATCTCAGCTCTTGCCAGGGAGCTTGGGTGAATTCTAATCCTCTCTCTTCCCTAGAACATGCCCCATTGCGCTCATTGTAGCGTGCAGTCCTGTGTTTGCACTGACATGTGTTCTTGTTTGCAGTGTTCACAAAGAACCTCTGCAGCCAGATGTCTGCCATCAGCGGGCCCCTCCTGCAGTGGCTGGAGGACAGGCTGGAGCAGAACAAGCAGCGGGTACAGGAGCTGCAGCAGGAGAAGGAGCGGCTCCTGGAGGAACTCGCTGCTTTAGAGTGAAGAGGGAAATGCAGACCCTTCAGAAAAGACTTTGAAAAACTCTGTAGGACCTACCTGTGGCTGAAAGGTGGCCCTGCATTGCCTTCCCGTGAAGATATTAGGCTGTGCCTCTTGTCCGGCCCCATGCAGCAGAGCACTGCTGTGGGATAAAGGCTCCTGTCAGCCCCAGCTTAACGGGAAGCAGGGATCTTTAAGTGCTGCATGATGCAGTGTAATTCTAGCTCAGTGTTGGGGTTAGGCAGCATCTCTTGGTAGAAGAGACTTCAGTTGTGGAGGGTGTTGTCTCCCCCCTCCCCTATATTGTGACAGAAGGCCTTTTGCTTTACTTGTATTCCAGGAGCCTAGGACAGGAGGATTAGAGGGGGAAGGAGTTAGTGTCCCCACAGTCGTATCTGATGCTGCCAACTTCTGCCTTTTAGTAGCTTCAGTTGACCGTGATCTTGTATCTAATGATGTTCTGGATTACTGGTTACCCACCCAGGCAGGTAAGCGGTGGGAGGGAGACCTGGAAAGAGACTTGGAAGAGCTTTGACATAGGGTCTGTGCTCAGTGTACTTCAAACCAAATAAATTCCAAAGTAAGAACTACTTGGAGTAGAACTGAAATGGATGCTATGCTAAATTAAATATCAATCAGTACCTGCACTTTTTGGACACTTCTGTCCTATTTCATGTGGTGTTATTGCATATTCAGCATGGAGATTCCTTACAAAATGGACCCTGCAGCTCTCCTGGCAGCCAGGATTGAACCTCACAAGAAGGAGGCAGACCCGCAAGGTGACCCACTGCATGTGAAACTGACAAAAAGAAGAAAGCAGAAGCCTTCACAGACCAAAGGTACACAGCCATGATTAAATTGCAACACAGTAGTCTGTTTTGTTATGACAAATGGTATAAAAAACATTTATTGATTATTCAAAACTTAATAACCACCTGAGCAAACTTGTTCACAGCAGACAAATGTGTGTTGAATCATGTTCTACACGAAAAAATACGTTAGACTAGATCTTGTCATTCTGTGGTCAAAAAAAGCATTTGAAGTTGTTTTTTGTCTACCTTTCCTTTTGCATCTGTTGTAGCTTCAATGAAGTCTCAGTGACAGAGGCACAACTGCAGTCAAAAATTAATCAGAAAGAACTCTGATCTCACAAGGAGCCAGAGAGCTTTGCAAAAACTCACACTTACTATAAAAGAGTTAAGGCACTGTTTAAGAAAAACAGCCAAGGCTTACTTGAACTGTGAGAGAATGCCTGAATTCATACCAAGGTCTTCCTGGATCACTTGGGAGTGATCCAGACAGAATCGGAGGACTTTGCTCACATGCCTGGATTTTTCTCACAGCTGGCAGTCCCAGTCAGACATACACATAGCACACACAGGAATGTACTGAACAGATCAGCTCCTCAGAAGGAACAGTAAATTAATAGTTCACTGGAGTCACTGAATACATGCTACCAAGCACTATGTGTAAATACAGATCAGACAGTTCCAGACAAACACAGCGAGTCTAGCCCAGGAAGGGTCCAGAACTGCATCTTCTAAGAGGAATACCCTGGCTGATTGATTTGCCACAGACATTCTGTCATCATCATTACTTCTGCTCACTTAAGCTTTAGGGTCATCTTTATATTTAAAGTACTTCAAACTAAAGTTTTGAAGTATTAAAATTGTCTGGAATCCTCCAAGACACCTTCTCACAGATCCCATGATAGCCCATCTACCTTACCGCTACATACAAACGTTAATGGCATCAAGAAATTAAGTGCATCAAGCTGTTAAAAGGAATCTTCGAGCCGAGTTTTTAAGGCAAAATCAGCACTGAGTTTCCGCATAACCTCTGCGTGGCTCAACCCCTGCTGTTCTCTTTTAGTAAGTCCGTAATTTTCTTTCACATACTTTGCAAAGGGTGTGAGCTGTGTCCTAGCAGGAGTGCCATCTTTCTGAGTGGGCTGACTCAGGACCAGCCGCCCCCCGCAGAATGCACACACGAAGCGCTCCGTGTCCAGAGACTTGGAATGACGTCCAATCCTGAAAGGGAGAAGTGATTAATTTCTCACTTGTGGTGGTCAGGACTTTTGGGAAAGGGCTCCCTTCTGCCAGCTCCCTATGTCAGACATTTAAGCTAGCATTATAGAACAGGAAACAGACTACATCCTTCACAGAGTGACATGATCAAATCTGTATTAAGCATTTCTCTACCCTAGAACTTTCTCTGCTTTTTAGCTTAGCTCCTTCCTCTGTCTCTTACTTTCAGCCTGGTAGTATGAAGTGCTACACCATTTAGAAGCACCTCCACAGCCCTTCAGAGTTTCCGCTCAGAGGCACAGTATTTTCAGTGCTTTGTTGCATCTAAGCAATTAATGCATTACACAAAGTAAATACTTCAGGAAGATTGTCATGATTTGTGAGTTTTTTAAAAATAGATCAGCACAGATGATTGTGAGAAAAAAATTCCATTCATGCTTTCAGAGCATGCATTTACCCCCTTATTATAAAGGGGAAAAACTGCTACTACTAATATAAATAAATTTATAAATAACAACAAATATAACTGGTAAGTACCATCCTCTACCACAGGGCTTGTAATAGGATCCGTGTCGATCATGAGATAGGGATAACAGGAAAAAAAAAATCCCAAGTTCACTCGATACTAGCACAGCTTAAGAGACTCCTAACTTATAGGGGCAGGAAACTGACAAATTAGAGACAAAATACATAATCATATACAAGATGAAAACATTACTCACGTGGTTTTGCACAGCACACACTCATAGATGAATTTGTATTTAATCTCATAGTTGTGGCATCGTGTTACCATTGGCAGTTCTGGGTGAATCATAGCTGATTTCCTGGCGTAGAATCTCCAGAATCGGCCGTGCCCATCGCGAACACCATTGATCAGCCAGGTGGCTGCATGGCAAACCTCGTGGATTAACGTGTCTCGAAGACGATCTGCAGGCAAAACAAACCAAAGACATTAAGATCAAACATGGGGAAGCACAAACCCCTATCCTTAGCTCACTACTTCACACCTCTGATGCTGCCTTTCTTATCTACCCCCAACCCCCCGATGAAAAACACCAAAACTAGATTCAGTATGGGAAAACTGCAGGCACATCAGGGCCCTGCACAGCAGCTTTTTGACGTTTAATTTGCAGACAGATGTCATCTGGTAGCTGCCAGGAGTAGTTAACAAGAATAAACCCAGAATAAACTCTGTGAAATATGTCTTCAAATCAGTAATGCAAACAAAATAACGAGGTTGACGTGAATAGACCTTTGTTCTCACGTCTTGTAAATTTGCCCAGCCTCTTAGAAGGGTTGTGAGGACAGGTGCTATAATCAATGGATTTATTTGTTTAAGATAATACAAAGTTTCAGACCAGGACCCAGCTCTAAATCTCTTACTCCTGTCCATGTTTTTAACCTCTGGAACATGCTTTCTCACATTAGAATCAACACAGATTTTCTTGTACCAACCTGCAGAATCACAGACTTTCTCAGAAAGCTCTATTCGAGCATAACGCTGTGCTTCAGGACCTTTTGTTTGCCCCGTTACACAATATCCTGCTGTTTTTCTCATTTTCTTGTTCCAGATTATTACCATATTCTCTGGTAACTGAAAAACAAAACAGTACACGTAATCTACCCTCTCCTGTCCCTCCCTTATGTTCCTCAGGCCTTCTGGCTTCCCCAGTACATACTGCAGTCAGTACTGTACGTCTCTATTTGTGCCTTTAACATCGCCATCACCAGCAAACCCTCTCCAGGGCTTCTTACTCCCATCACTCTGTATTTCTATAACCAACTGTGGAGTTTCACAATGCAGGATGAGACAGAGTCCCTTAGGTCCTCTGTTCAGCCTCCAACAATAGCTAACAGTGCTGCTTAAGAGGAAGTACAAGGACAGGTGAGGAACGCAACAGAACTGCCTCTTCAACATACTCTTCCCAACGGCTAGCCATTTGCAATACAATGCCTCGCTGAGACAGAGGTGACTTCTTTGCAAGAAATAGCTTCCCATTTTTTTATTGCCTTTTAAAATACATATGAATTTCTAGCATCCACAGTAGTCTCTGATCAGAAGTTCTACAGCTTAATCATTTACATGTCAAGTACCATCTGCTTCTGATTGTTCTGAACTTGCAATTTGCCATTTTTGCTTCATGTACATTCGCACTGTGAGAGGATGAATAATCACCTTCTGCTTATTCTCTGTGCTGCTCCTGATTTTATAAGCCTTCGTCACACCTCAGTTACCTTTTGTTCTTCTGCCAGTTTTATCTCATTTGAATTAGTTGAATGAGTTTAAGTAATTGTTCCAACAGTGTTAAGTGCCAGCACATATACAGGGCTGAAGCACCGGATTGCATGATCTTTCAGCCTGTTCAGCTCAGTTTTATGTAAAATTATGACCTTAGCCTGTCCTTGGTTAGCTCAACATTTTCCTCAGATACAGACACTTTCCTTCCTGAAGGAAGTTCTGTTGGAATTACTGAGGGCAGCACCCTTCCTTTCATGGACTTTTCCCCCAAGAGGAGGGCCTCCAGCATCCCAGAAGATGCAAAGATCAAGACAGTGGTTCTCTGAAGTTGAACTTTCCATTTGAAACACAATTTAAAACTAAAGTTCATCCGAAACTGTTATTAAAAGAATAATCAGCTTCTTAATCTGTTCAGCAATGACAGACAGGAACATGCAGTAGGAAAGCATGAAGACTGCACGTAGCATGACTAGGCATGAGGCTATAGCTCCTAACACCAAAGGGAAGTGCTTTTATCCTTCAGCTGCCTGATCTCCATGTACATTCCCCACCACTTGCCTTTTGCAGCTGTGAACAGCAAACAGCATTACCGCCCTTTGGTGGCTGTGAACTGTCAGAACAAGGTTACACAAGAATTAAAAAAAAAAAAAAAAAAGCCACAGTTCTAAAGCAGTCTGAACCGAGTGAAGCGTTGTCTGCTGTGGATGTCTCCCAGTTTCCAACTCATTAATTTTATGAGCAGATTGCAGCAACTCAGCTCAGCTCCTGAACTACTTGCAAGTATGTGGCAAGAAGCTGGGAACACAACAACCAGACCAGATACGACAGCCAGCAGATCCGCTTGTGCTACCACGAGCGGCTTGTGGCAATGCTGCAGTCTGCTAGCACATGCTGCTTCCGTAAGGCTGGCTGAGCAGTGATGGTAAACAGCCTTAAGCTTCTTTCAGCAGCAGAAAACCATAGCTGCCTTCACTGAGGCCTGCCACTGCACAGGCAGCTACAGAAACACTCCCGGCAGGCTGAGCTCATGACCATGCAGGTGCTAGAAAATACACAAAGATAAACATCAGTCACCTCTTCAAAGATGAAACTGATCCAATGCAACCTCATGTAGCAGTTTAATCTCATCAAGGACTCTGCTGGACACCATCCAAACTGCTCACTTAAGGATGGTACAGCATTACAGCTGGGAAAGCAAGCCAAGCTGAAAACTGCTGCATCACAGTGGTGAAAAATCCCTTTCAAAGAAATGGCTTGAGCTAACAGAAACAGAAACCATTATTATAACATGTAACTTCTACTAACTGAAGAAAATAAAGAGGCAAAAACATCAAAAACTGAGGAGCAACGTATTAACTAGGTTTTTATAACTGTAAAAATGTGAGTTGCTTTGTGTTTGAGTTCTTTTGTTTGTAAAGCCTACCTTCTGCTCAAAGATGGTGCTGTTATAGAGAGCGTAGAGCTTCTGTGTCAGCTCCTCTTTACTTTTCTTGAAATACTTCACATACTTGGAAGCTGGATTTGAGAGATCTTGCAAGAAACAGCCAGGCACTGAGCACACGTTAAGCCTACAAGAAAAGACATAAAGCAGTTTACTGAAGTTCAGATAACTCATTGAACAATAACGGTCACTTCATAGCCAATAAAGATCCCTGGGATGCTGCCATTGGCACAAACCTCTCCTGACTATTTTCACTGCCCTTGCCTCATGAGGCCAGTGAGGTCCACATGCTTATACTGTCTCCTTACCTCGTTAGGGGTGTGAATGTAAAGATGGAGGAATACTTACTTTTTCTCTGTCTGTGCCGAGCCTGAGCAACTGACTGACTCACTCCTAGGAATTCTCACAGAAGCTGTTACACTGGAAGGTGTTTCTTGAAGTGAAATGGAGTTTGATTTTGGTGTCTTGATTCCGTTCCCTTTTGAAGACTGGGCACCTTCACAGGGTGGCTTGATGTTTTCTAGTTCAACAGAAAAAGTCACAAGATTACGTGCTGTCAAAGAGTCGGGACCATAGACATAAACAATCAGGTAACAGATGATGAAAAAAGTCTTATGTTCCACTTCAGCACACTCTTTCTGTACATACAAAGGCCTTTACAACTGAGAGATAATTTGCTGTTGCTATACTATAAAAACCACCACTCTGCTGATGGAGCAGCAGAGTCCAAAATTGCAAAATGCTGGGTGGCACTTGCAAAGCATGTACCATGCAAATGAACAGAATTAGGTAATTAGCACTACCATTGCTTCTAAAATTTAATTTGCAAGTTAGCTAAGAACTATTTCTTACCTGTTGGGCTTGGCTGGTAGACAGATTTACTTGTGCTTATGAGCGGTTTTCGGGGTACACTTCGTTTCCTTACCCGTTCTATCAATGATTCAAATTCACTGTCTGAACTGTCTGATTCTAACCCTGTACTCAGTCGTAGTGGAACGGTTGGCGTTTTATTTTCTGTACTCTTTTCACAACTTCTTTCTTTCCTTCCAACGAGGAAGTCTGGACTACCTGTGGCAACTGACTCTTTCTGATTTTGTGGGGGTGGGAGTTTCATGCACCTCTGACTCTCTTTCAAGTCTTTCACTCCCCAATTTCGGTAGTCTTGCCATGAACTTTCCACAAAGACACAATCTTCACTGTCACTTAAAACCTCTGAATACTTTTTGGATTTGGACTTCTTTAATTTTTGGGAGCAAGCGTTTTCCTTTCCAGGAGTCATCAACTTCTTTGGGGTCTGAAGATCCTTAGGTGCTGTAATTCAAAGGAAACAGCTTAAAGTTTTGGTAATTTCACTTAGGAGATTCAAATTCGTCTTAACACAAAACGATTCCTTGAAACAGGACGGGGAAACACGAAAGACAGAAAGGCATCTTTGCCCTTTCTGTGTTACACACTGCCCACTTACTGTCATACTGAATGGACAGTCACTGAAAGATGTACTATCATAAGCTTTATTCCTGGTAAGAAAAGCTACACACGTGTGGGAATACAGCTGAACATTTAATATTAGAGTCTTACGAAATTAACAAGTGAAAGATAATTGAAAAAACACTCAGCCTTAGCTGATTAGAACATAGCCTACAGCATAAAGCACACACTTGCCAACAAGGCTTCTGACATCTGTGATGTGATCTGTCACGATCAACAGGTCACGTCAGATCTTAGAGTGATGACTGTTCACTTTTCTGGTCCATGTCACTTTCCCCTGCCTTCTCCCCCACCCCGATAATTCCTCCAGAAATAATTAATTAGCTTTTTGCAGTCTGCAGACGGTATTCATGAGGTCAGCAACGAAGGTTAGCTTTTGACCCAAGAGAATTTCTGCTTTATATTTGCTGTTGGACTATTACTTGCCCTTCTTTGTTGTGCTCCTTCTCACTTCATGGTCCAAGAAGAAATCATCCGAGTCATCAATGAAGTCCTTTAAACTGCAAAACAAGCAGTAAAACAAAGGCATAAGAAGGAAAATTGAGGAGTAAGATTGCCATATTAAAAAGTAACCTCCAAAATAAACATCTACCATAACATGTAGCAGTTGCTCACAAGTGTTACCACCTATATCTGCTAACAGAAATGGCAATACAATATGTACGCCTCCAAATGTCGCATTTTATGTAACCTGAACATATACAGACCAAACACATACCAGTTCCTCTGTTCACACTCACTTCCATACACTATCAGCGTATGAATCACTAAAACTTCTGATCATTTTTCAGTATTCAGAACAGCAGATACGATACTAATCAAAACTAATACATAAATTACTAGTTTGAAGGCTAATACGTAAAGACTGAGAAGTCATTAATTACAGCACCCACCTTGCATGTTCCTTTCTGGAGACTGGTTTGGGAGTTTTCATTCTAGATAAAACTGAATCAAAACGAAGATTAAGAACAAAGTTCTAATGATCATTTTATCACACGTTTTTTTGAGGAAAAACTTGCGACCAATATAAATTTAACCTAGACTTTAAAAAAAACAACAACACAAGAATCTTTTAAAAGTAGCTCCAATTCTTGAATCCTCAAAGCTCACAATAGCATTTCCTTCACTATTCAGTCCTCACCCATATCAGAAATGGGAAAGAAGTACTACTGTTTTGAACCTTGCAGAATCCAATGTATGTCAAAACACATCTCTAGCCAAAAACGTCCCTCCAACTGGTTAACAGTAACAGAACAGATGTTATGAGACATGAGGGAATTCTGACCAATTTAGATGTGTTTGGAACAGATAACGTTTAGAGAAAACGCTTACTGAAAGATACGCAGTAGGCTGAGAAGGTAGCAGGGACCAGACAGAATTGCAGCAACAAGAAACTCTTTGTCATGTCTGGAAGAGTTAACAGCAAACATAGCTGAGAAGAACAGAGAGAGCCTCATATACAATGCAAGGCAAAAGGCACATCCAAGACTGAGACACAAAATTCATGAGCTCTCACTGTGGCACGTAGCTACCAACAGTGCACTGTACAGGAGCAATGAAGCAGAAACAATTTAAGACTAACACCATGGAAGAAAATCATGCTGAAAAACTACTTAGTTATATGCAGATAAAAATACGACCTTTTCACATTCATTTAGAATACAAATGTGTGCTATTACTTACACATTTCAAATTCATCATCACTGCTTGATGAAAAGTACAGGGCAAGGCTGAAAAAAAAAAAAGTGGAATATCATTAAGAACATTAGGTCAACAGCAAGCAGACCTGCATCGCTAGCGCCCTGAAATCCCAGATGTATACTGAACACATACCAAATCTATACTGGAAAAAAACAACACAGTGAACTCCTCAATCGGGCTGTAAAGTTTTAAATTGTTTAAAACAAACATTAAAACTTGTATACTTAAGTTCGTATCAATATGTTTGATATTCAAATAATGATCGATCGCTGTCAAAATCTGAGACTGGACCATTTGGTGACACAAGCTTAGGACGTTATTCTGGTTTAAGCTCAGGTTGGGTAACAGACCTCTAAAAGGACAAAAAGTTGTTTCTTGTCTTATACATGGTACGTAATCAGGCAGAGAACGCTGAATAGAATTAAGTGTGAAACCTCTGAACACACATTGAGAAACGTTAATTTTGGATGAAGTGCACTTTAATGCGGTTGCCATGAATAATTAGTAGCGGTAGTTTTTAGTAAGGATATTTTAAAACTGGACTGCAATTGCCACGCAAACGTAGGCGCAAGCTGCAATGCTCCGCCTTACCAAATGCCTTAACTCATTTGGGGACAAAAAGCAAAAACTAAGAACCTGAAAATACACAACGTGTCTACTTAAAAGACTGCCTAAAAACATTCAGATGGCTTCTTTCAGTTACATTAAAGTTACTCATCCCTTATAAACCCTATGCAACGCGTTAAGGACCGCCCCCAACCCCCCCCCAAAACCAGCGCACGCCGTGCTCGGGCCGGACCCGCTTTCCCTACCCCCGGTCCCCCCTCACCTGCTGCCGAGGGAGGGGCAGCCCCGGGCCGGCCTCAGCGGGGTGGCGACGGACACGGAGCGCCCGGCCCGGTCCCCCCGAGCCCTGGGCTCCGCCATGGCGCCCGGCCCGGCCCCGCGGCCCCCGCTTCCCTTCCGGGGCACGGCCCCGGCCGCATGCGCGCCGCCAGCGCCAGCCCCGAGCCGGGCTCCCCCTCCCGGCCCCGGCCGCTGCTGCACTTGGGGCTGCGGCCCCCCGGGGTGGAGGCACCATGAAAGATGAGAGCAGGGGGCCAGAACGCTTCATGAATGTGTACGCAGCCCTTCTGAGCTTCTGCGCTGTTGGCAGTGAGATCTATACTTACCTGCAATTATTTCTGCTGAAATCAACAGCATTCTTTACAACAAAGCTGCAGGAATGCACGTAAAAGGCCAGAAATCCAGGATGCTCTCCTGACAGCAGCACAGGAAGGGTAGGAGAAAATGCCAAACGCTGGTCAAATCAGTCAAACTGGCAAACCAAAGCTTTATTTTTTGTTTAAAGTCTTTGCTACAGTACCTAGGACTGCGCCTCTATACATAATTAAACATCATTCCTGAAAGATCTGTATTTGGCACCAGTTTGTGTTTACCTCAAACACTTGTGGGGAGGATTAATTTCAAATCGAATTTGGTTTTCAAACAGAACAGGAGCTGCCATCATGAAGCCAATTAGCTGAGTTATTGGAGAAGCTTAAAAACGAAACAAAAAACCCAAAGTCCTTATCTAAACCAACACATTACAGAGAGCTCCAAAACAGAGGTCAAACATTAAAAGGCTGATATAGGCTCAAGTGGTTTATAAAACCTATAAAAAAAGACTACACCAGCAAATATGCCCTTTCAGTCCGCACAGTTTAGAATTTAACGCAGGGAGCAACACTCGCTAGCTGGAAATCTTGTCATGGGAGAACCACACGTATGCCAACAGGAGTACCCCAAAATCAAATGTTAAAAAGCTCCAGTTCCCAATCCGCATAAGAGGAGAGATTCATCAGCAGATTGAATCAATCCCTGAAATCATAACTGGTCGGGCAGTTCAAGCTTCCCCACCAATCACTACATCTCTCATACATACAGGTTCACATGTACACGGCTCAATCCCACTCAAATTCCTCATGGAATAAAAGGATCCCAGGCTCTATAGAGTCTTTCCCTATCATGCAAGAAGTAAGTCTGGCTGTGCTCTAATCACCATCATGTATCACTTCAGCCACAGAGTACCAGGCAGATTAAGTAGAAATGCACAGTTTTTAGCTCATCATCTCTGTAGAAGTGTTTGAGAGGCTCAGTTCCTGGAGAGTTCTGGGTGGGCGTACAGACAGTCTCTTCATGCAGATTCACTGGCCTCTACTGGCTTTATCATGTGGTCTGGTTTGTTGCCGGCAGCATAGTGATCCCACATCTGAAGATAAAGCCGCTCCAGGTCCATTGTGTACTGCTTGGTGTTGAACAAAGGACTGGATATTCTCTGCTTCCAGACTTTGCCACGGATTTTTTTCAGGCTACAAAAAGAGTTAAAGTCAGTCATGAGCAGTTTCAAACACTATTTTTAAATCTATTTCAGCAAACCTATAACTGCCAGTACAACTGTTTCAAAAATATCTACTCTCCAACTTCCACCAAGTTCACACCTGCCATTTCACCCCCTCACTGCCTCTGATCACACTGGCATTACCACTTCAAAAGAGCTGTGACATTAATAGATTAACCTGTCGCATTATCTATACTGCAGGAACGTTTTACTGCACAATTTTACCTTTAAATGACAAACTGACTAATCTTCAGACTGCCTAATCTTCAATTTAAAAAGAACAATAAGTGAACTCTTGCACTTCTTATCAGGTAAGAGCCTGCACTTGCGCAATTTCTTCAGAGTAGGCAGCACTGTTCCTCAGCCTAATTGGAGCACTATTGAATTTACTGTAACAGCAGAAGCCAAGTTAACTGCACAAGAGACCTCTAGATGAGAATTGCCTTGTTATTTTAAACATTAAAGTACCTGCAAGATTATTAGTAAGGCTCAGCACTGTGCCCAACGACAGCGCTTTATATTCCTGATGTTACCACGTTACATGGTACAAGGTCACTTACTATTCCAGATCAGTTCCCAGTTTCACAGCTATATCTTCATATTCCTGCCTACTTTTTGCAATGAGCTCAAGACAACCAAGGCAAGTAAGCTGGGAGGCAGCAACTCGGGATGCAAGCGTTTCACCTGTAAAAACAAACAAACAAAAAAGATGAAAGAAATCAGCTTATCAAGTAACACGCTACTGAGTATTACTTTCCTTCTGCCTCCAGAAGAGGAAACGAGAAAATCCCTCAGGCCAGCTAGCTGTTATTGTTAAATCATAAATCACGATCAAATTTATCCGCCCTGTCTAGGTTCCCCCTTGCAGTTACCTGGCATAGTGACCATAGGAGTCCCAGCCCACAGGACATCCATCCCAGTTGTGTGCCCGTTGCAAAGCGGAGTGTCTAGACAAACATCAGCCAATTGCCCCCTCCTCACGTGTTCTTCTTTGGGGGCAACAGGAGAAAAGATGATTCGGTTTTGGGAAAGACCCAAGTTTTGTGCATACTGCTGAATATTGGGTTCTCCTACAGCCGGGAAACGTAGCAGCCACAGCACACTGTTTGGAACTCTTTTTAGGATCTGTAAAAATAACCAAGAAGAAAATACAAACAGTTCTGTCAGAGACCTTTCTCTTCCTGGGTAATGGCAATGAATTGCCACATATCAAAGTGAAGTAAAAGACACCATCATTCAACATTTGAATCTTCTGAGATAACAGAGCAAGGAAAAAACAAATTACGATTTGGAGTGGAATGGCATTCTATTCCAAATACTGCTGAAACATACAGCAACTCTGAGCAATACTTCACAAAGTAGTACTTGAATAATAAGTCTTGAAATTGGTTATACCATTTACTCATAGGCTCACACTCTGGAATATAAAATACCCCTCGAAGAACTCTCTGCAATGTACTTCCACACTGCCAAGGCCAGCTCTAACTTAAGTATGCAGGCTAGAAAAGACCAGGATTACTTCTCAATGGAGTACCAGCACACTTACGCTGTCCAAGATTTAATTCTCACTGACTAGAAGAACAGATGTGATTTTAAATCAAACTAAAAAAAATAAAAATAAAAAATATCTATATCCTGTTAATGCCAAGCCCTGTAACATGAGCACTGTAAGGATTCAAATGGCTCCAGGTCAGTATTTTCCACAGAACAGTTGAACTTTTAACTTGCATGACATTTCTCTTGATTTGAACAGTAGAACTGCTATGTTCCAGAGGTCCAACCTCAGTCTTCGTATCAGATACACAGACACTCACATTAGCCCACATCTGTAAAGTGGAAGGGTCAATCTTATACAGCTGATTAAAGTTGCAGTATACAACAGCATCCTCTGGCAAGCCATATTGAGAACGGGTAGTAACAATTATAGTTCGTGGAACTTCTTCTCCAGTTGCTGCTTTGTTGTTAATCTAAATTGGAAAAGAGAAAAGGCTACTTGAACGCTGAAATCACAAGAAACAAGCTTATGCTCTATGGAATCTTTCTGAGGCACAGTGCAATGTGTTGGCATCATAACTTACTACAAGCATATCTTTGGCTTCTTCTATGAAAACAAAATTGTCTACTTACCCAGAACAAGAATTTAACTGGTACATGTAACATGCTTGTGACTGCCATGATGTTGCAACCACCAAGGAATAAAACGCTTGGCATTTTCATGCCCTGGCTATGTCTCTCTGAAATTCCAAGTAATTGTAAAGAACCAGCATCTAAAGAGGCATTACACATGGACTCTTCCCCTCCTTAAGGTCCCTTCACTGCCTTGAGACTAAAAATGAAATCAAGACTTCAAGGAAGAAGAAGAAAACAGTATTTAAGAAGCAAAAGATTTTTTGTTTTGAATAAGAGACAATAGGCATAATAGAACAGATAGAAAAAAGACGATTAAGATCAAAGATGCAGGCTAGTACGTAACTGTGAGACTATAAAGAACTGGCTGACAAGGAAACAACCAGCTCCTTTGGACTTAGTTCTGATTAGCCAGGATGGATAAAGGTGCATTTTACCGCAAAAACATACAAGGAGCCATATTTCAGCTGTATGCTTATATAGAACGCTTGTGACCGCACTAGGAAGCTTATAGCTTGTTCCTTCCAGTACCAAAAAACTAAACTGAAGGAAATTCACAAATCACAAGAAGTTATGTCAATGTCCAAACTTGGTGTTTTTTAAAAAAAGGAAAAATGCTCTACAAGGTTAGAGATTTTGAACAAAAATAACAATTGTCACTTTCACTCAAATCCCAGGAGCTGTAAGCACTGAGAGGTGGTGGCACAGTGCATAGTTCAGAAAGATATAAAAAGTAGCTCAATAAGCACTGTTGAATTACAATGAAATAACTTGGCCTATATAACCAAATAAAATCTTTTGATAGGAAAAACAAAACTGAACAACACCTTGTAAACACCCTTTAAGCTACAGGGAATAATCACGTCTTGCCTTCAAGTTCTATACAACTGACAATCTTTAATCTCTTCTACTCAACAAAATTAAATTGTTTTGGACTTCAGATACCTGTTGATATAACCCCTCTATTTTTGGGGAAAGATCATCTTCCAGAACATCTGTGGCTTAAACACATCTGGACTTTCCTTCAGTATGAGAACTAAACAAATCGACATGACAGAAGACAGGCATTTGCTTGGAGGTTTTTTGTTCCTTGTTATGTTAAAATACGCAGATGGTATTATAAAACCCAAGAGGAATGTCTTGAAGTGCCTCACCTGAGTAGTTGCTAGTCCGTTACTAATGTTGAATCCGTTGATAGTTATCTGAATTTGTCCACGATTAATCATCTCAATCACAGCTTCCGCAATTGTATTCATAGGAATGACTGGCATACTGAGGGCAGCATTGCTGTCTGCATTGTCTCCGCTATCAGGACACTTCATCTATGAAAAAAAAAAACAAAAAACTATAAGCATCAGAGAAAATAATAGCTTCTGTGTCTAAGATAGAACACAAACAGGCATAGCTCTCACCTTAACAATCTTGACATCGGGGAGGCTGTCAAGGAAAGCCTTCAAGTCAATACCATTCAAAACAATT